TAATTTGAGTTTAAATTATTGACTACATAATGTAAATACTTGGTACAATTGTGTGAGAACCTGGACTAAATAACAAAGAGATACATTTTGGCATTGTTTCCCCCCCTTTTTTAGAGGTAACTAAAGTATGCCTGAGAGAGTTCCCCTATCACTTTCTCAGCCTCGATAATGACGCTTTCCCACAACCTTTTATTTTCCTGTCTGTATTTTGCTGTTCTAATATACTAATGAATGGCCAAATCAGGCAGTCATCGCCAGTTCTTCCATCGAGATAATTGTATCTGTGCATCTCCTTTTAATTAATGGATTGATCACCTCCTTCATCAACACATTCACTTTTATCATCCTCAGAACCTCCACAACAAGGTATTTATCAACTCGCAAACCTTTGTGAACTCTCTTGCACTCAAGGTTACTAAAAATCCAAACTGACTCACTAAAGTTGTCGGAAGTGTAAATCCTATAAACAAATAAATGGGTATTTGTTTATTTAACTTGTATCAGAATGTTTTTCCTCCACCACACTGTCTCTTGGACCAACTATGTACACAACCACTTGCACAAACCAATTATAACCTAAATAAACAGCTGTCGTGGCTTCTGTGTCAATAGAAGGCACGGTGTGTCATCTTGACATGCATCGAAGAGGTGATGACCCCGTGGTCATAATAGTACTGACAAGAATCAAGGAAGTGCTTTTGGGTGAATCTGTAAACATAGTTCATGGGAATTGCATAATCTTTTCCACCTGTTCCACTAATAATGCATTAAGTTTGAGAAGAAAAGTGTCAATTTCTGATGAGAGGTGTCTACATTTTTATATTTAAGGTGGGAATGAATACCATTGTTAAAATATAAATAAATGGTATCAAATTTTCGTTGTAATGTATATTTAGACTCAATACGAAAAGACCAATCCATGGAATATAATTGTTTTGAAGCATCTTTCCATTGGAAATACTTCCATTGTGGAATTAAAACAAAGTTACTGGATATTTTAACTGGGTTGAGAAATAGCAAGACCTGGCAAAAGAGTGGAATGGTTGAATTTAAAGCCATTAATTGGGTAAACAGTGGTGTGAATGTTAAGGCAAAAAAGTAGATCAAAGAACAATTTTCCACATTCTGCAAAAGCAATAAATTTCATTTAGAAAAAAAATTGTTCACAATACTCGAATTGAGAATAAGAGGGGAGACCAGCTGGCAATTGATTATTTGTGAGGTCAAAATCACCTAAAAGTATAACTTTGTGAACAAAGTTTCTAAAATAATTTTTAAAAATCTTTTTAAATGTAAGAATAGTGTATCGTGGGAGTGATGGTTATGAAATTGAATGAATAACTAGGAATAATGACACAAAAAAGGGATCCAAAGAGATTTTATATTTTGCATAAATATCTTTAAACTAGACATGACAGCAATATTTATGTGAAATAATAATTTTGTTTAAAAAATTATAATAATAAAAATAATATAAAATTTCTTAAATATAAATAATCAGCACCAAAATCAATTAATCACTTAAAATTATCAACAGCTTAAAATTGCACGGCTTGATTGCCACAGCAAGTGAGCTGACCAGCAGAAGTGGAAGTCCGACTTGCTGTATTGGTTTGAAAATGGTCTTTTTTACAATGTTAACTTGCATATTGAACATACAAAAAACATTAAATGTTTCATAACCAGTGATTCTATTAATATCATGATTGTACTATATTTTGCAACCAATTTAAACCCTCAATTAGCAGAATTCAATTTCTATTCCGTTCTATTCAAATTCGAATGGAGTTAGATAACCACTGTGGTTTGAATATTAGAACAAATTATATATATATTTAGCCTTATAACAAATATGGTTTGCATCAGGAAGGACATCCGGCCCTAAAACCTATGCAAAACTACATGGAATGTCTGCTAGACTACAAGTAGGTTATAACTGTGTTAGGACGTCCCCCCAAAGCAATGCACAGTCGCATTGCCCAAAAACTATGTCAAATGAGCTGGGACTACCGAACCAAGGATGGGTTTGGATAAAGAAGTTAGTCCAGAAAGAGAAGAGGAAGAAGACAAGTAGAAGAATAGGTACTTTAAACATAGGAACATTGAATGGGAAGAGTAGATAGTTGTTAATCTTATGCAAAAAAGGAGAGTGAACATTTTGTGCCTGCAAGAGACAATATGGAATAATGGAAAGGAAATAAAGCTAAAGAACTTGGTGAAGGGTACAAGCTGTTTGTGAGTGGAGCAAATAAGGGAGGAAGGAATGGAAGTAATTGATAAAGTTCTAAAAGACAGAGTCTTTGAGGTTAAACAAAGGTGTGATAGAATTATGAGCATTAAGTTAAACGTTGGTGGCATTTTCATTACCCTTTGTGTGTGTGTGTGTGTGTGTGTGTGTGTGTGTGTGTGTGTGTGTGTTCCTCAGCCAGGTAGTGGAGAAGAAGAAAAGGCAAACTTTTAGACAGATCTTGACCAAGTTATAATGTATGTTCCTATGAAGGAGAGATTAATCTGTAGGAGTGATTTAAATGGTCATGTTGGGAAAGGGAAGAATGTAGAAAGAAGAGTTCTTAGGAGGTGGAGTGTGAGAGAAAGACTAGTCGATCATGCTGTGGCATTTGACCTAGCACTAGTTAATTCCTACTTTGAGAAGAAAACGAATCAACTGGTTACATACATGAGTGAAGGTAGATCCAGCCAGATTGATTTTTTGTTGTGCCGCAGGAGACATCTGAGTGAAGTGAGAAACAGTAAGGTGTTAAATGGAGAAAGTATTGCTGCACAACATAGAGTTCTCCTGGTGGATTATGACTTTCTTATGGGTCATTGTAAGAATTGTGTTAGCCAGACTGAACAAAGGATCAAATGGTGAAGATTGAAAGAAGAGGAATTAAGGAAATAGTTTAAGGTAAAAGTGTTAAAAGAAATCCAGTTCCTGGATGATGTGCAAACATGGTAGTTACTGAATAGTAATTGCATTTTGAAAGTTGGAGAAGAGGTTTTTGGGAAAACTTCAGGGAAGAGATCACCAGAAGGAAAGAAACTTTGGTGGTGGAATGATGAGGTACAATCCACAGTTAACCAAAAGAAAGAGGCAAAAAAATAGGTAGGATTTGATGGAAAGTCCTGAAATAAAGAAACTTATCATTTGGCAAATAAAATGACTAAAAAAGTAGTGGCTATTGTGAAAGCAAAGGCTTTAAAAGAGGCTTATAAAGTTTTCAAAAGGAAAGGTGCTGAAAGGCAGTTGATGAGAATTGCCAAAGCAAGAGATAAGGCATCAAAAGATTTTACCTCTATTAAACTGATTAAAGATGATAAAGGAATTGTATTACAAGAGGGTCAAGGAAAAAGTTATTGGTATAAAGAGAAAGGTATAAAGTTATTGTCCCATACTATGAAGATTTGGGAGAAAATTGTAGAAAGAAGGATTATGCAGGAATCTGAGATTGGAGAGGAACAGTTTGGCTTTTTGCTGGGAAGGAGTACAACTGATGCTATCTTTGCTCTAAAACAGCTGATGGAAAGGCACAGGGAAATGTAGGAAGATTTGCACATGGTGTTCATAGATCTAGAAAAGGCATATGACAGAGTACCAAGACAAGAGATATGGAGATGTTTGAGGGAAAAGAATGTTCCAAAAAAATATGTTAAGCTTGTGAAGGAAATATATGAGGGAGCAGATACCCACATTAAGAGTATTGTGGGCACTACAGAAGGGTTCTTTGTTAATGTTGGTTTGCATCAGGGATTGGCCCTTAGCCCTTATTTGTTTCACTTGATAATGGACGCGTTGGTGTGTGACATGAAGTGTGAGGCTCCATGGAGTATGCTGTTTGCGGAAGATATTGTGCTGTGTGAACTTTCCCAAACCAAGGCTGAGAAAAAACTGGAAGATTGGAGAAAAGTTTTGGAAGAAAGGGGCATGAAGATTAGCAGAACTTTAAAACAGCTTATATGACTCTAAATGGTAGATATGAGTGCAATATTAAAATCCAAAGTGTGCCACTCCCTTTTCTTCCGAGTTTTAAATATCTTGGGATATTTGTCGAGATAGGAGGAGGATTGAACTCGGAGGTGCATCATAGAATTCATGGATGGATGAACTGGAGGAAGCTGGCAGTGTGTTATACGACAAGAAAGTTAGCTGCAATCTGAAAGGAAAATTGTATAAATCAGTTGTTAGACCTGCAATGTTTTATGGAGCTGAGACATGGGCAATAACAAGAGCCCAAGAAAGAAAGATGGAGGTGGCGGAGATGAAAATGTTGAGATGAATGTGTGGAGTGTCAAGGAATGATTTTATTAGAGGTTCTGTTAAGGTAGGCCCCTTGAGCAAAAAGATGCAAGAATGTAGGTTGAGATGGTTTGGCCACATAGAGCAAAGAAGTGAGAATTATGTTGGAAAGAAAATCAGAAAACTGGTAGTAAAAGGAAAGAGGAAGACCAATGATGCATTGGAAAGATAAGGTGGAAGAAGACTTGAACCAGAGGGGACTTAAGAGAGAAGAAGCCCTTGATAAGGAGAAGTGGAAAAAACGTATTAGACCCCATATAAACATGGAAAAAGGCAAAGATAAAGAAGAAGAATTAGTGGAATTCAATTTCATTTGTTATGCATATTCTGGAAGTGTTGAGTAGCAACCAAGGTTTAAAATAACTCAACTCTCAAAATTCAAAATAATTGGAAAATAAACAAACTCAATTTAAATTTCTAAATATAAGTATATATAAAATTCTCCCCTGCTACCTCACAATACTGTAATTCTAATGAATTTGACCAGAAATCAAAAGCCAAATAATAAAAATTTAATATATAATTTCATTGCCTCATACCCATGGTTATGACTATTATACATGATTTAATTTGTTGGTTATACTCAAAATAGTTTAGCTACATCATATATGATTAATGTGAAAAAATTATTAATTTATAAATAAAATTTTGTAGTAAGAATCAAATTATTGTTTTAATTTTCTATTATATAGAGAATACTTACCTGCTGGAATGCTGCATTTATCTGCCCTTGTTGCAATAACTGCCGAATTTGCTGTTGTTGGATTTGTGGATCAATCAACTGCGGTATGGGAGAAACCATATTGGACTGTAATGCTCTAACGGAGAGCTGATGTTCAGCTATTGCTGCTTTCACTTCTTCTTGAATCACAGTTTTTAACTTGCTTAGCATCTCTTCTTGTTGCCTATATTAAATATGAATAACAAGTTTTAAATTTTCAGAAAAGTATGAATCGTGTATAAGAATTAAATGATACGGTTTACTTTTTGTTTCTTTCAAGACATTGTAACATTTATATCTAATGAGAGTGGCCTGCCTCCTGCCAAACTGCTTAATAATTATTTAGCTTTATAATTAAAAACACAAATCCATAAATATCAATCCCACATAAAACAAGACCCTAAATATTGCTGTACACAGCAGGCTAACCAAGGATACATTTGTAAAGTCGAACAAGTTAAACAAGAATGACATCATTATTCTTATTTCATTAGACTTTTCGACTGATTTGTTTACAACTAAATGGCTGTTTCTGAAATCGAAAATATGAATGTTGCTAGTGCAGACTTCTCTGAAATATTTTTCTTAGATTGCTTCGAGTGGACAGTTATTTCTACCATTTCACCTTTTAATTCACAATTTAAACATTTGAATAGATTTAGAAACATTGATATCATTGGGTGCCATTTTCTTAACGAAATAGACTAACTCTTTACTTTGTGAACTTCGATAGAGTTTCATTTGGAACGTTCTCACCACAGAGCATGCGCACTGAGTGAGACTACTACTTTTTGACCAATTCATTACTAATGTGTTTAACTTGTTCAACTTTACGAATGTACCTCAAAATGGCTGAGACTCGAGTACTTAGGTTAGAACTAGACCAGAGGTCCCTAACATGGTTGATACTGTCCTCAGCGATCAAAAATTAATTAGAAGTCGATTAAAATGGTTCAGGATGTTGCAAATTTACAACATCCTAAACTGTCATTTACATAACCAATTGGATTAATAATTTTTAATGAATCATTTTTGATAGACACCCAATTTATTTATTTTCAATTGACTATACAGTAGCATTCCTTTGGAACATATGACTGCTGCCTCATTACAACAAACCCCTTTAAAAACTAATAAATAATAATAACCACAATTAAAAACAATAAGAAAAAGATACAGTGAAAACATACATTAATTGTACTAGCAGAAAAAATGTAGCCTGCTTCCATAAAGAGTATAAAATAAAAGCCTTTTTTGTGCTCACAGAAAAGTTTAAAAAGATATTTATTATTAATTGAACTTACATTCTTCTGTTCCACGTTGAAAGCTTTCATTTAGCTGGTAGAAAAGGTTTTGACAAGCTTTCTCAAAAGCGGGTACAGTTGTTGTTTGAAAAACATCCCGACATGTCATCTGTATGTGAGGTTGTACCAACGAAACAACGCTCTGTCCTAAACTTTCACTAAATATCTGAAAATGTATTCTTCATGTTACTTTCAAAAATTATTATTTGTAATTTTATTAATTTTTCTTAACATGTACCTTATTTTTTGCTAATTTTCCTATACTTTCTCTTATAATGTTATCACTAGATACTAATTTTTGAGAAACCTCTTGTTGTAACTGGTCCTTTAATATATCTAGGAACTTTGATACATCTAAAAAGATAATTCATTAAAAAATTCTTGAAATGAAAGAACACAAACAAATAAATAAACTAACTTACGAGGCAAAACAGAATTTTTTATCTCATTTTTGATTGTTTTATCTAGTTTATTTGTAATGGCAACTGTTACGGTCTGCGATAAGGCAGTCGCCTGTTTCTCCAGAAGCAAATGATCCATTTTCCCCTTTCTAGCAAACAAGGGCTCTAATTTCCTAACTATTGTATAGATTAAGATAAATAATTCGATATAGAATTAAAGCAGAAAAAATAAAATAAAAAAAAAAAGGATACAGCCTTCTTCACTTTGCACAGCTACAATATGTTCTATGTTGGCACTGAGTTTATCTTCTAATTTATCAACTTGTTGTAGTAAGCATTGTAATGTTTTATCCTGTTGATGAAATTCTTTAATTTCCTGTTTTACTTCTTGGAGCTGATGCCTCTGACTATGGATCAACTCCAATAGAATATTCATATTTTCTTGTAAATTCTTAACAGATCCTTCTAATCTAACAATAAAGAAAGAAAAAATAATAATAATCAGAAGATATATTAATAATTTTCATAATTCACTGTTAATAATCTTCAATTAATACATTTTTATTATTATTAAATAGTTCAAATTATGTTAAGAGTCATTGTTCTCAATCCCATAAAGTATGTAAAAATTAGTATAACCAGAAAATGTTGATATTCATATTCTCTATTTTTACAATGGCAAAACTTATTATGTGACTTCTTCAGAATCACATCATGGAAAATAAATACTTTGCAGTCATTTTTCAAATTTAAAATAAGCCTTAATGTTTACATACTTTCTCTATATTCACTATCACTGTATATAAGATACATCCTAAACAAAATTAGAAACTACTTGATAAGCTGATTAATATCACATTACTGACAGAATTATTTAATGAATTATAAACTTACTTGTGTAAAACATAATCCATTTTATTGCTAAGCTGATTGGATGGAAAGGATTCTTTTATAGATTCAAGGGCACAAGAATGTTGATTATTTGTATTCTCGTGTATATCACCTCTAAAACATCATAATGAATTAAATTTAGAAAAATCATAGTAAATAAAAAAAAAAAATTTGGGAGATTACAAGTCATACCTTTCATCAGTGCCAATAACGCGATATTCTTTAGTTGGGTCAGGAGCCTGTGGCCATCCATTTGCTCTGTATTCATTATGTCTGTGTGACAAATCATTGGTAGAAGCTATATCTAAAGAGGAGCCATGATTGCAAATATCTTTTGCATCTTCTGATACTATATTATTTTCCATATCATGTTGCTGTTCTTCCAATCCCGGTTCTTCTTGCTCCCCTAACAAAACACATTCATATAAATTAATAAATCATTTTCAAATTTCTCTATTTGAAGCCTATAGATACATTTTATACATTTAAACACCAAGTAATTGACTGGTGGTAATATTTTGATTATTTTCCTCACCACTGTTTAATAATTTCGATGGTGCCATTATTTCTGCCACCTCTCGGCTTGGGGAACTGGTAGAACTATGCTGGGAAGATTTTCTGCGGGGAAGGATGGACGAATCGGGCAAAGGTTCGGAAGTCTCAGTTTCTGCCACTTCGTTATCGTCACGTTTATCTATGGGAGATTTTGGTGGAGAGGACACATGATTAACATCTTCCATTTGTTTTAAGGGAAGGGAAAGTGGGGAATGGGAATATGTGGACACCGGTGGAATAGTTCCGGCTGCTGGAGGAGAAGTAAAATCATCGGGAGTCAATAATACTTCTCCACATCCTTTATAAGACTGTAAATGAGAAGTCAAAGGAGATCTTATAGAGGGACTGATAACGGTGGATGAAGATGCTGCAGAATCTAAAAGCATAGTTACACTTTCTTCACTTTGTTTTGGCACTTCACGAACTTCTAAACTCAAATCGCATAATTTATCATGATAACCTGTAATAAAAGTTGTGTGTAAAAGACTTCTGACCAAAAATTAAAAAATAAAATACTTTAATTCTTTCTAAAATAAATTAACGAACATTCACTACAATCAAAATAGCTATTTTGGAAGAATTCATCAATATAATGACTTTAGAATGCTTTCAAATTCCATATCTTTATTACATTCTTGTTATCAGTAATACCATTCATAATATTGTATGAATGCAACATATATTATTTAAAATCTTGATCTTATCAATTGTATTTGAAGATAAATTACACTTCATTTAACTTGCAGTATGACTATAAATAATCCTGTACGTTAAACTATCCAAATAATTTACTAAAAACAGCATTTTATTATATTTAAAAATCATCTGAAAGCCTTATTATTTTCTGCAATCTTATATTTTTTAATATTTATTTATGTAAAGCAATATTTAATATATAAATTTACTATTATTTTCAAATTTTCTCACAAATATTTAATGTTGTAATAATACAGCATGATACATTGTAATCAATCTACTGAAATAACTTTAAAAAATATCCATTCTACGAAAAAATTGTTGAACCGAAAATGTTAGGACTTCAAGAGGGTCACAAGATAGGGCCATTGATTTCACCATAGTTGATGTAACAATTGGTGAAACTGGGTTCATTTGCTTAAATGAAAACCCCACTTTTTATTGCATGTTACATATAATTGTACTTAAAAGACCGAACTAACTTTTAACTGAGACATTTTTATGGGAAGGTACAGTTATCAAAAGTTATGAGCATTTGAAATTTTGTGCAGCCACCATAGTGTGCACACTGGATATCTGTGGATATTTGTGAAGTTCTTTGGAAGAAGGAAGAAAAATGCTAAAAAACTATTATTATTTGGTGAAAGGGGTTCTTGTTTATGAAGATGAAGTTAATCCCATTTTCACCAAGTGTCACATCATTTATGATGAAACCAATGACCCCATCTCTTGTTGGCCCCTTGAAGTCTACCAGTTTTGTTTTTGTATAATGCATATTTTGAGTGATTTCAGTGGATTGATTAAAGAAGACCACCCTGTATAATTTGATAAACTCAAAAATATAATTTCTAAAAAAATAACAACAACATAGTACCTACTTAATGAAAGAAATTATTTCATATTACAAATTGTATAAATCTGAACAATCATAATAATAATAAAAATAAAATGATAGTAAAGCATGATATAGGTAAAAATAAATATTCAATAATAAAAGAAGCGCAAGAGATAGAAGGTGAATTATATTTACCATGAGGAAAAATACATACAAATGAAGAAGTTAAACAATCAATAGTAAAACAGCATAATGTTTGGAGAAATAAACAATTACATGGTCAATTTCTTTAAAAGGTGTTAGATCAAGGTAATATAGATAGAGAGCTTATGTTTGATTGGATTAAAAAGCAACAAATAGCTCCAAGTATTGAATCATTAATATTTGCTATACAGGACCAGGCTGTTATAACACGACAATATCAATGCGACATCTTAAAGGAGCAGTGGATGGGAAATGTCGCCTATGTGCAACTAAAGACGAGACCATGCAGCATATTATATCAGGATGTGAAAAACTGGTGGGGACTTGTTATGTAAAACGTCATAACAACCTTGCCCAGTATGTCTACTGGTGCCTGGCCTGAAAACATAAAATAGAAGTTGCTGACCAATGGTGGAAGGAAATATTACTCCGGCCACAAGTTAAGGAAAATGGTTCGGCCAAGATACTATGGGAAATGCCTGTCCAAACTGATGTCACTGTATCTCACAATAGACTGGATTTAATTTAATATCATAATAGAATCATAATAAAACAGTTTTAATAGATATAACTGCACCATCAGATTATAACATTGGTGCTAAAGAAATTGAAAAATTGAGTAAATATCATTTTTTGAAATTGGAAGTTAACCGCCTGTGGAATACACAGACAACTGTTGTTCCAATAGTAATAGGAGCAACAGGAATAGTAGAGAAAAACAGAGAAATACATAGATCAATTAGAATCCAACATTGATATTAATATTCTTCAGAAACAGGCAGCTATACACACATCACTTACACTCAATAGAGTGCTTGGAGATGTCAATACAACAGATCAACTCAAGAATGATATACAGCAATCTTCAAATCCGCAGCAATCATCAGATATACATCATTCATTAGTTAATCCAGATTTACCTAATACAACTTTTGAGACTAGTACACAAAGCTCATCTGGAAACTTGCTGAGAAGAGGAACTATTTGCACGTAAAGTCTGTAAATTTCTGTATTAGTTGCACTTTTGCAACTAATACAGAAAAGGGGGGAAATAGGTACAGTACCTTCTTTCCCGGAGGTTATGGGATGAGGTATTCTTAATTCCGATGTAATTCGTGAATATTTTATTGAAATAATAATAGAAACAACAAAAAACAAAATTATTTTTAGAAAAATCTCAAGTCTAATGCAAGTTACAAGAGTCATGCTATAAACAATTACCTGGACAAGACTCAATAGAATATTCATTTTCATTTAGATCAGTGGTTCCCAATTAGTTTTTCCTGCATACCACTTCAAGAAAGAGCTCAAACTCGCGTATCCCTTATAGCAGAAATTCAAATTAATCCATACTAATATTATAAATTTGAAGTTAATTCTGTCTGGCTGTCTGTCACCTTTTCATGTTTAAACTGCTGAACAGGTTTTAATAAAATTTGGCACAGAGCTAGCTTACATGTTGGAGATGGACATAGGCTACATTTTACTGCAAGAAAATATCTTATTCCCACGAGAAAATTCGATATAATGTGGTTGAAGCTGTGGGTAGACAGCAAGTGATAAATAGATTAAGTTTTTTTACATTTATTACCTTTAAAATACAATTCTAAAAATAATGAAAATAACATAAGGTTATTTAATTTTAATGTGACAAATGTGCACGATTTTCTTTGCACGACTTTGTAAAATCTGGTTGCTTTTTGGTTAGCTTCAGTTTCAAGTCATCTTCGAGTTGAAGTCAGCGACGATGTTTAGTTTTCATATTTGTCATGGCCGAAAATCCGCTCTTGCAGAGATATATTGTGCAAAATGGTAGAAAATGTTTTATTGCCGCCTCACTGACATGATGATAATGATAATTATACAATTAACACAATTTGTGTTAATTGTACAATTTTTGTTTCTTGCGCAAGTATTTCATTTAGGTATTGTCACAAATGCATTTTTTTGATGAAATTTTAAGAATATTTTTAGTTATAAATAAACGAATTTGTGCATTCCACATCATGTTGTAAATTGCCAAATTTTTGATGGTCCATCCATTATTTTTTTGATTGCTTCATCTCATGAATTTAAATTTTAAATAGACCGATTTTAGATTGCTGCGCGTACTCCTTCATGCAATTTCGCATACCCCTGGGGGTATGCGTACCACTAATTGGGAACCATTGATTTAGATTAATGTAACTAGAGGACATTTTGATAGGTATGTTCACAGTAAGTAAACAGTGTTTAAATTCTAATAACATGGTATTGCAAAATAATCAAAACTCTTAAAAATGCTATAAATTTATGTTTTAAAAAACTGTATTCAATTGATTTCTTGTATGATCAGTTATCATCATCACAGTGTCAGTATAATTTAACTTACCAAAAGATTCTTGTGAAAGAGAAGATACAGAACCTGAAGTCTGAATAGGAATGGATAACATAGGTTCATAAACAATTCGACATGCCTGTAAAGATCTATAAAAAATAAACAGCATTTGAAAAGATTGTCAACTTTTATCAGCTTAAGTTTTGTTTAAAATAAGATTTATAAAATTGATTCAAAATAAAATTTAGATTTAAATATTAAAATTTTTAACTGTAAAGCTAATCCCATAAATATAATCTACAAAAAAAAAACTGGTTAGTAATATTCAAATTTAATTTCAAAATCTTTAAACCTTAAAAAACATTAGTATTATATGACACCTGTAAAATTTAACAAATAATTTATGAGGGCTGATTGATAAATAAGGGTTGATGAACAATGTAACCTGTTTTAAAAATCAGTAAAAATCAATTTTATCAGTCATATTCATTTTCAGCATAACCAATATTTAGAATGATAGTTTTTTTTTAAATCATCAATCCATCTTGCATTTGCTTCATCCATTCATTTATGGTGGCTTGTACGAGGTCTGTTCAAAAAATATGTGGACTGACATCATAAAACAAAATGTACTTTATGTACAAGTTACATGTCTGGGTCTCCTACAAAGTACTCTCCTTCCTAACACACACACTTATCCCAATGGTGTTTCCACTTGTTGAAACAGTCCTGGTATGTTTCTTTTGTAATGTCCTTCAGCGCCTTCGTCGCATTTGCCTTAATCTCAGGAATCATCTCAAATCTTTCTTTCAAGGGTGTTTTGAGTTTGGGGAACAAGAAAAAGTCACAAGGAGCAAGGTCAGGTGAGTAGGGGGTGGGGAATAACAGTGATCGAGTGTTTGGCCAAAAACTCACAAGTTCTGAGAGCTGAATGGGCTGGAGCATTGTCGTGATGGAGAAACCAGTCGCCACTCCTTCACATTTCAGGCCTTTTGCAACGAATGGCGTCCCTCAGACATTTCAGAACTTCAATGTAGTAAGTCTGGTTCACTGTGGAGCCTTGGAGGAGGTAATCATGGTGAACAACACCCTTAGCATCAAAGAAAACTGTCAGCATCACCTTAACATTGGATCAAACTTCACAAGCTTTTTTGGATCTAGGGGACATTTCACCCACCCACTGGGACGATTGGACCTTCGTTTCAATGTCATAACTGTAAACCCATGATTCATCACCTGTTTAACAGCAAGTCGTTGCTCTATCAGGTCATTCATTCTGAAATCCGACAAATGAAAAAAATCGCACTTCACTAAAAACCGTGTAGCTATTCAACAAATAAGGATATCTGTAATTGGGAAACAGCTTTATTACCAGACGATCTGTACAAACCTAGCAACACCAAGCTGATTCCCCTGGAACCAATTAGAGCTGCGCAATTCAGTCAGTATTTTTTGAACAGACCTCGTACTTCAAATTCTATGAAAAATATCAATCTTTCAACACCTTTAATTTTGGGAACAACCAAAAATGTAATGACGTAGGTTGTAAGGAGGGACCAAAATAATATGTAACCTCAGTTTCTTAAGCATCTTCACTGTTTCTCTGCTTTGGCACAGTCTTGTGTTATTAAGGTAAAGGAGAACACTTCTTTCTGGTCTTATTCCATGAATGCATTTCTTGAGTGCTGAAAGTTTTAAAAACACTTTACTGAATTGGTTGCTTCTCCCTTTGTACACAATTTTCCAATACTAAAATTTCAATTACTGATTACTATGTTATATAGAATGAAGAGAGATTTGTGTTTAAACTTGACTTATGAAATGATACAACCTAACAAATTGAGACTGCACTTAGAGACCACAAAGTCATGGCTAATAAATGCTTGTCATCACATATTTCTATGTAATAAGAGACCTTCATAATAAAAGCTTCTTGAATGTGTAACTCAAACTACTTTAAAAACTAGCACTTTTGAATTACATGAAACCAAATAGAGAAATGAAAATCAGAAAGAAGACAGTTTCAGTAAACTAGTGTTTTTCAACCTGTGGGTAAAAGAAAAAGACAAGTGTTTGTAGGTCCTACACTACAATAAAGAAAAAAAAATACAATTTCAGTGAGAAGGCTATACCTGTTTATTTTACAGTATAATCGGTTTTTCAATCGATATTTAGGTCTGAACAGAAAGAAAATTAAATATGCAGTTTTTAAAATCACTGATATAGTTTTAATATGGCCCTGGGGGATCGCCAGAAGTTTTTAACTTGCAAAGCGGTCACATATTCAAGAAGGTTGAAAAACACTGCAGTAAACTAATCACATACAAGCAATGAGATATATTGTGGGCCAAACATATAAACATAACAAAAGATTATCTTTGTTGCCATTTCTTTTGCAATACTTAAAATATTCTAATATGATCCAAACCAAGATAACAGTAACCAGAGAGAAAACAGTAAAAAAGTAAAGCAAATAATAACTGAAATTGTTTTGATTTGTGTCATTATTTACCTTAGTTTCTAGTTTTTTCTGCCTTGTTTTGGTTTGAGTTTCACAAAAATAAATTTGTTTTATAATAATTAGATCAAAACATCATTACTGGTCAATTCTATTGAACGTTACCATCTTATAACGGGCTAACTTATGGCCAGCTATATGATATTTAATGCATCTGTGCTGCAGTTTCACAGATCAATTAAGCATGTAACATTAATGATGCAAATTAACCCTTCTTTATATGTTGCAAGAGAAACAGTCAATAATGCTTCTTTATTTTTTCACTAAACAAATTTTAATGAACTGATGGTGCCCTGATGTGGACATGATCACTTTATGAAAATCTGTCAATTCCCCAATACACTTCACAACAAAGGATCTGTAACTCACTGAGTTTTTGAAATCCACAAGTTCATATTGAATATTTTTAATTAATGTTATACACTACAAATTTTTAATACTGTGTTGAATAATACAGTATTAAAGTACAAATTACAGACATGCAAAAATTAATAGTTTAAATTTACCATTTAAATATTAAATTAAGGAAACAAAATTTAAATATCTCACTTTGTATGAATCCAAAATAACTTCACAACATTTCCTTCAATGTATTTCTCATTTCCACTAACTTCATCTCCTTCAAAATCATTCTTATCATCTAGTAAATTAAGAATTATATTATTAACATTTACTTTCAATAATATTCACAAATACAAGATCCATATAAATATATTTAACATGTACGATACCATTAGCGGCATTTACATGTTCCACATCCACAGTAGATGGTTTATATTTGCAACGTGAAACATCGGTAATTGCAAAACTGAGTATTGGATATGTCAGTAGAAATTCTGATATAGAACAGAAACTAGCTTGACTACTGACAGGGTCTTGATGAATTTGCAGTATGTATAAAACCTAAAGTTGTATAATTGCAAGTAATTAATTTGTAAGTAATTACTAGAGATAGGACATCTATGCATAAAAAATCATATATGATTTTAAATTTTAATTCTCTCCACCCTATAGGAACTAAAGGAGCTTTTTAGCAACCACATTATGGGATCAACCAGGCCCACAATTGGCAGCCAAATGGTGGGGAACAGGGTCCGATGTATCCAGATGGACACCCCCATGAAAAATTCTGAGTTTTTTTGACTCATCCAGATTCATCCCAGATCTCCCAAAGCGGTAGGCTGCCACCTTAGCTGCTCTGCCATCCACATAGTTATAAAAAGCATAATTTATATGATTTTTAGTATCTAGATGTCCTAGCTTTAATTACTACATAGCTTAAAATCAACAATAAACTCTTTCACTTACTTTTCTGTTGATATCAGTTAATAGTAAATATGACGACGATAGATCTAACTCTGCATTCAAGCACATCTGCATGTTATCACCGTCATTAAGTACAAATCTGTTTAAAAATAAAAAATAAAATTTTTTTTTAAGTTACAAATTAAAAATTTTAATTTTCATTATTAAACTAACTTTATAGTCTGCAAGCATATCCAAGTTTCGCAGCTCCAAAGTTTCAATTCCTGGTTCTTATCTGCTCCGGTAATGGCAAATTTCCAAAACTGAACACTAAAAATCGTGCATTAGAAACTTTCTATTAAAAGTAACACGTAATAACAATAAAATATCTATTATTCTACTTACTCGGGGTTTGGATTTTTATGATTATCGAGAAAAAACAAACTCGAGAGTGGCTTTCCTTTATGCGGCTCCCACTGATGAAGACATCTGTTGAAATGCGTAAAACTTTAAGAACTGACATGGAATTTTGATCCAATTCAAGTTTTAAATATTGATAATGATCCTACCTGGGAGTGGTGCTTTTATCTGTGTAGAGAACTTGAAAAAATTTAACATTTCCATCTATACTAGCTGTTGCTAATGCAGTCCCGTCAGGAGACAGAGCAGCGTCAGTAATGGGCTGTAAAAAAATAAATTTATAACATATCTTGCATCACTTCTTATAAATTATTCTACAAATTAATATAAATTTTTAGTATTTATTACCGATTTCATTTAAAATTTAGTATACAATACGATTATAAGTAATTTTAAAATTAAAAAAAAAAATCGCTTAACCATTAATTTTCTTAAAATGTGAAAAAGTTTAGACTTGTTTTTATTGTCAAATTAAATATTAATAGTTTTTCAATCTAAATATAACATATGACAGTAGTAACTGCATTTATGACTTCATTTTTGAATGAAAAGTATCGTGAAAAATTTCTGGAGAATTAAGCTGAGTACACACACACATCAGTATACCTGCCAGGTATACCAATACACACATACCTGGCTTTAATTGCCCCAGATCTGATCCCAGATCCCCAGAGTGATAGGCCGACTCCTTAACCATCTTGGCTGTCAGGCCTTCAAACTGAATTTTCAGCTTTCAACACTGAATATGCTACCATGTAGGTATCTTATAATGTCAATACAGTAGAGCATCGATTATCTGAAACAATTCGGGGCTAAGGTTGTTTGGATAACTGATCATGTACAAAAAAATATATTAACCTATCCCATGTTGAAATTTTTCTCCATTGTATTTCGCTTTGCATTGAATTTTCATTGATGTTAAGCCTAATGAAAATTTTTTTAAAATAATAATCATGGCTATTGTATCGTTTGTGCAAAATAAAGAAATAATTTTTAACAAAATAAATATATTGAAAAATATAAAAACAAAAAAAATTATATGTTAGAAGTTAATCTAGTATCAAAAACGTTCCAATTAAGCACAACACACGTCCCGACACACAGTCCTCAGAAAAATACCACACAAAACAAGCAAAACGCATCACTCATGATGGGAAAAAAAGCCTCGTTCAAATAATGGCATGTCCTTACGTACCCTTTCATGGTTGCGCCAATGCTGCAAGCTAAAATGCACACACCAACAAAAATAATATTGGAGTAGCCCAAGACATAGCTAAATATTGCAGTGCCACGGCACTAGCAAAAATTTGAATTTGTGGACTGGAACGCTTTCAGTTAACCAATGATTTGGTTGATCGGTATTCGGAAAATCAATGCTCTACTGTAATTATATTTCAGTGAAATTGTACATTTCCAGAATCCTAGATAATTCTATATACAGTGGAAGGTATACATTCACACATTATTTATTCATATATTTGTGCAGTTTGACTGTAGGATTCATATAATCCTACAGTCAGATACTATCTTGCATTTAAAAATTATAACCTTACATCTTATAAATACAGTTATAAATATGTAAATGAATATACAGTATGTATACAAATATAAATTTTTTGTAAACTTACTCTGTTGTGCTTGCATATTTTATGAATTCCTTTCTCTACTTCATTCGAATTTAATTGCTTGGCGTTTCCATACTGTTTTGTAATTATATCGATATTTACAATTTCTACTTTTTCATTGTGAGTCACTACGAGAAGTTTGGACACATCATCCAGGGAGTTTTCTTCGTCTATACTACAAGGTTCTTCCGGAATATATGGACACCAGATTATCCTATGAAAATCACTAGCAATTGTATCTCTGGGTTGAATAATCTGAACAACTGATTTTCCCCTACAAATATGTTAAGGAATACAAAGAAATATTCCTAAACATTTAGTAAGATAAAATTCTATTAATACACATATAAAAGTAAAGGATACATAAGTTTTCCATCTTGTTCTACAATTTCATAAACATATAATGAACCTATTTCGTCTACGCAAGCCAGTAACACATCTGTATTAGAGTAAGAAAATGCTAAATCTTTTATATCTCCGGTCATTCCTTTAACAAGAGTGCGTTCTCCTGTTTGAGGCTTCAAAATCCTCACCATTCCAGACGGGCTATTGTACACTGAAATCAATTAAATTTTAAATACCTGTGCAAATATTATATTATTTTGTAAGCAAATGATTGTAGCTTAACAAAATCAGCTATGATATTTCATTAATTGTTTAACATTACCTTTATCTGTTATTTAAATTATTATATTTTAAGATGCTTTTCTGTAATTGGCATAAACAAATTATTTTATCTTAGATTTCAACCAAAAGAAAAAATCTTCCCATCTTGAAAAAGAAATCTATATATAAAGCCAGTAACATGATGGGTCTTTAAAAATAAAAATGATGCCTATGACAGTTCTTAGCAGTGATTGACAAAGAATATTTTTTACACTTATTATCACAATTAACAACTAACAAATATAAAAGGTCTTCAAAAAGGAATGCTAATGTACTTAGACAGGTATTACTTGATTAAAGCGGTTAATTAATCCTTTAATCACATATATAAAAATCACATTAATCAAAATACAGTATCTACATTAAGTAAAGCAACATAAATTAAAACTTCTGTCACGTATATAAAAGGGATTGCCACAATTAATCTTGCGCGTTAATCAAATCCTGCATTAAACAAAACCAAATTAAGCAAGGGATACATGTATTATTATTATACTATTAAATTATTGTAATTATATTAATTACTATCCAAGAACATTATTATGTACATTAAAACATATAAAACCATTCAAATTTCACATTTTCCGATTGTAATTTCTCAATGTGTGCACATTGTCGTAAGACAAACATTAACTGAAACTCAAATTATTCCTACACTTGCTACAGCACATCTGTTGTCACTCCTCCCATGGCAGCCACAATTCTACTGTTCCTGCAGATTTCTCATGTTGCAAAATGATGAGTTATTCTGACTTTGTGAAATGCAGAACACAAAATGCTTTCTCTACTGCACAGTCACCATTTTTGTTTATGGTGCTTCCTAGAGATAGTAGGCAACAAAGACGTTTGAATGTGGATGGGAGATGAAACTCGGACAATTACTCTATCAGTAGGTGTACATCACATATTTGTCGGGTAATAATTAACATAATTACAGTAATTAAAATGATATCATTCATTTTGGATGACTTTGAGTAAGTTGATGATAATATATGTGAGGAACTGAGCCCGAGCTGTATTATTATTTTATTTATTTTTCTTTAATTCTATTTTATTTTGGAGTTTATGTTTAGTTAGGACGAAGGTTCCCCACACACCCCTCAATAATGGAAAAAAAAAAAAAAGGAAACAAACAGAGGAGAACCAACTCACTGACCAGACTAGGGATTGTATACCGGTTTACCGATTTACTGGTTAACTGACAAATTGACAAAAAAAAAACATTCGGTAAACTTACCGGTAAATTTCAAAAATTTACCGGTAATTCAGTAAATGAAAAATCCATACTAGAAATTTTTATGAAGAAAATATTGTGTTTATAGTTATTTAAAAGGGCTAAAGGGACATTGAAAATAAAGAATACAGGTAAGTGTAAGCAACAATATACCTAATTATTAATTTTATGAGAGATATTTTTTGTTTAATTTTAATTTAAACTTTCTTGGGTTTGAGAGGCACTGTAAATTGTACAGAAAGCTCTAGTTATCATATGTGATTTGTGCTCTGCAGTTTTTTGAGATTTTTAAAGGTTTAAAATCTTTACAATCAACATTTTTCTTAAAGAGTAAGTAAATATCTCCTTTTTTTAATATTTAAAAATAATAATACATAAATATTTCATGTATTTTTTAAATTAATAGCAATTTTGAATACACCACATTATGACACGACATTAATGCAATATTATTGTAAAATAACATTAAAATTTGAATCTTAAATAAATTTTTTACTTCTAACAACTGTTTAAAATAATTAAATACAAATATTTATTACAAGATTCTAATATTATGCCTTAAGATTGTGCAAAACATGTATTATTCTAACCCTATTTTCTTGGGGAATCCTCATTACTCTCACGAAAAGAACTTTCTTTAATTTTAGACTGTAGAACCAGGTGGAATAGCTTACTAAACATGCTGGAAAGATTTTTATTACTTANAACTGTTTAAAATAATTAAATACAAATATTTATTACAAGATTCTAATATTATGCCTTAAGATTGTGCAAAACATGTATTATTCTAACCCTATTTTCTTGGGGAATCCTCATTACTCTCACGAAAAGAACTTTCTTTAATTTTAGACTGTAGAACCAGGTGGGATAGCTTACTAAACATGCTGGAAAGATTTTTATTACTTAAAGGTGCTGTCCGAAAAAGTCTAGAAACCTAACCTAACCTGATTATTTTGTACAAAAATAGATCAAAATTAGGAGATAAGACTTTAAATAATTTAAGTTTCTTGAGAAATTATTTTTTAAAAAATGGTATTAGATACTATATATTATTTCTGTTGTATTTTTATTTTTCTGTATTATTTTATTTCTGTTTCTAAAAGTTATTATTATAGTTTGTTTAGAATAACACTTTAATTTTTATATTCTATATCTTTGAAATAAAAAATGTGAAATGGAAATCAAAATGACATATTTCTTATCACCTTAATTTTATTTTTCAGGAAAAAAAATTTACTGGTAAACCAGTATTTTAATTTTCATTTACCAAATTACCGGTAAATTAAAAAGTCAGTAAATTTACAATCCTTAGACCAGACAAAGCGCCATAGGAAAACTAACGCACACTTGCGCTCTCAAGCCGGAAGTTCAAAAGAAGTTCCACAAAAAGGAGGGGAACTATGTGCACGTAACACAAAGGACTCACTAAAACTTTAATAAAATAAACATCCCAACCATGTACGGAACAACAAAAAGAATACTGTAAAAGGATTTAGCAAAAACTGTCAGGAAACAAGCTGACCAGAAAAAAAGAATGCAAATATATTGTTAGATATATAAGTATTTAAATGAGGAGGAGTGGTTCCAGAAGTAATTGTGATGTCACCTCAGAGCATAAAACAAGTGAGACCAGAGACGATGATCGAGGTGAGCTCCAGACAGAGAGATCAAGGTGAATTCCAGAGTGAGAAATAAGGAGAAAGTCCTGAGAGTAGTAATACTTGGTGATTTGAAGGAAACTTGGATAAGGATTGAGATCCTAGTATTGAGGTGACAGATAGGATTGTAGTTCTATAAGATTCCTTGTACATAGTAGTAAGTGGTTAATATTGTCAAGTCCTAGGGAAATAGTTAATAAGTAGTAGTAGCTAAATTACATTATTTTGTGTCAGGTCTTGAGAATTGTTTTTTTTTCTTGAATAAATTGTTGTTTGTTTCTTACTAATTTGTACATAGTGGATAATTGATAGTTGTTATTAACATTTGTATTCCTTACTGGTCCTTGTACATAGTTACTTTCCGGAGCACGCATAAGTCCAGGCCTGGCATCCTAACCGCGAACTCGCGTAAAGTACCCATTAGGTTAATGGTAGTAAGTTCAAGTGATAGTCCCGAACACCCTACTGGCATATCTTTGATTTATTTTATTTTAGTACTTTACAACTACACATCTACTTACAACTAACATTTCCATCGAATGTAAGAAATTTCATTAACACCATATCTTCATATAATGAGAAATCATCAAATTTAGTTTCAAGAATCAATTATTATTATGTGATAAATACTTTTAAAGCTTTTAGTTTTCCTTCTCAATCAGATAACTGATTTAATTTTCAGCCATTCTGTTTGATTTGAGTAATAAATCAAACAATTATTTATTGTGACATTGCCACAACGCTGAGCTGGAATTTTTTATCATATTTTTAATAATTTTTTAATTTAAAATATATGCTCTACTCCTCAAATTAGTAATTAGTAGTGTCTTGCCCCTGTACAATACATAATACTTTTCCATTAGCAATAGAGTTGCACAGGTCATCTATTGATATCTAACTCCTTTTGTGGGAATATTTTTTAATTGAAATAATATGACTTCCAGTTTGAACTGGAAGTTTGTATATAGTTAATCGTGGTCTCCTGCCCATAATCTTTCCATACTTGGTCTCATCTTTTAACTGTCTAACTCCGTTCTTGAGATTAAGGAAAGACGGACAGACAAATGGACAACAGTGGGATTTTATAGGTCTACAATTTTTTCAAATTGCATCCCAATAATCCATTTCAAACAAAACAACTAAAATTCAAGTCAACAATCTGATAAGAGCAAAGTTTAAAAACATTAATGATCAAATATATTTATGATTTCTTACAAATGTTGGATATGATTTTCTCATTTATATTTCTGTTACATAATTTTAGATAATTATCATTTCTTCTTACCATAGAAATTATATTCTTATATTTTTATGAATAAACTTGGATTCATGCATTTCCAGGAATTTCATCAATATAAATGAATGAAAAGATTTTCATTTATATTGATAGCAATGCTGGAAACGTACAAAATGCAGTTTGGTCATCAATTTTACATTAGTTCCAGTTTTAAAGAATAACTTTTTTAAATCGAACTTTTAATTTGTTTTTATCTCAGCTCATGTGCTTTCTGCTCTCGTATTCCATTGGATTTGTTGTCATAATGTAGTGATGTCTAAAACAAACTTTCTATTGCTTTGTTTTTATTATTATTACCAAAAAAGTATTTAATGGGATAAGATATGCATAAAATACAAAAAAAATTAAGATAAAACAAGAAAATAAATTAGGTTGCCTACTGGACAACTTCAAAAGTATATTTGATAGTCCAAATAAAATTTTGATTACCTGGGACTACACAACTGCAAATTTCAAACTCTGCATTATAATACACTTTGTAATTTATTAGAAAGTATTAAAGTAAATTTTAAAATATTCATTGACAATAGTTATATTTCTCTTCCATCACTTTTTTAAATTCAATGTCACAAAGTAAATCAATTGTACTCATAACCTTCACAAAGAATCTGTTCTGCAATGAGTAATTTTGCATAAAAATTTTGATTATTTACTTAAAATAATTCNATTATTAAACTAACTTTATAGTCTGCAAGCATATCCAAGTTTCGCAGCTCCAAAGTTTCAATTCCTGGTTCTTATCTGCTCCGGTAATGGCAAATTTCCAAAACTGAACACTAAAAATCGTGCATTAGAAACTTTCTATTAAAAGTAACACGTAATAACAATAAAATATCTATTATTCTACTTACTCGGGGTTTGGATTTTTATGATTATCGAGAAAAAACAAACTCGAGAGTGGCTTTCCTTTATGCGGCTCCCACTGATGAAGACATCTGTTGAAATGCGTAAAACTTTAAGAACTGACATGGAATTTTGATCCAATTCAAGTTTTAAATATTGATAATGATCCTACCTGGGAGTGGTGCTTTTATCTGTGTAGAGAACTTGAAAAAATTTAACATTTCCATCTATACTAGCTGTTGCTAATGCAGTCCCGTCAGGAGACAGAGCAGCGTCAGTAATGGGCTGTAAAAAAATAAATTTATAACATATCTTGCATCACTTCTTATAAATTATTCTACAAATTAATATAAATTTTTAGTATTTATTACCGATTTCATTTAAAATTTAGTATACAATACGATTATAAGTAATTTTAAAATTAAAAAAAAAAATCGCTTAACCATTAATTTTCTTAAAATGTGAAAAAGTTTAGACTTGTTTTTATTGTCAAATTAAATATTAATAGTTTTTCAATCTAAATATAACATATGACAGTAGTAACTGCATTTATGACTTCATTTTTGAATGAAAAGTATCGTGAAAAATTTCTGGAGAATTAAGCTGAGTACACACACACATCAGTATACCTGCCAGGTATACCAATACACACATACCTGGCTTTAATTGCCCCAGATCTGATCCCAGATCCCCAGAGTGATAGGCCGACTCCTTAACCATCTTGGCTGTCAGGCCTTCAAACTGAATTTTCAGCTTTCAACACTGAATATGCTACCATGTAGGTATCTTATAATGTCAATACAGTAGAGCATCGATTATCTGAAACAATTCGGGGCTAAGGTTGTTTGGATAACTGATCATGTACAAAAAAATATATTAACCTATCCCATGTTGAAATTTTTCTCCATTGTATTTCGCTTTGCATTGAATTTTCATTGATGTTAAGCCTAATGAAAATTTTTTTAAAATAATAATCATGGCTATTGTATCGTTTGTGCAAAATAAAGAAATAATTTTTAACAAAATAAATATATTGAAAAATATAAAAACAAAAAAAATTATATGTTAGAAGTTAATCTAGTATCAAAAACGTTCCAATTAAGCACAACACACGTCCCGACACACAGTCCTCAGAAAAATACCACACAAAACAAGCAAAACGCATCACTCATGATGGGAAAAAAAGCCTCGTTCAAATAATGGCATGTCCTTACGTACCCTTTCATGGTTGCGCCAATGCTGCAAGCTAAAATGCACACACCAACAAAAATAATATTGGAGTAGCCCAAGACATAGCTAAATATTGCAGTGCCACGGCACTAGCAAAAATTTGAATTTGTGGACTGGAACGCTTTCAGTTAACCAATGATTTGGTTGATCGGTATTCGGAAAATCAATGCTCTACTGTAATTATATTTCAGTGAAATTGTACATTTCCAGAATCCTAGATAATTCTATATACAGTGGAAGGTATACATTCACACATTATTTATTCATATATTTGTGCAGTTTGACTGTAGGATTCATATAATCCTACAGTCAGATACTATCTTGCATTTAAAAATTATAACCTTACATCTTATAAATACAGTTATAAATATGTAAATGAATATACAGTATGTATACAAATATAAATTTTTTGTAAACTTACTCTGTTGTGCTTGCATATTTTATGAATTCCTTTCTCTACTTCATTCGAATTTAATTGCTTGGCGTTTCCATACTGTTTTGTAATTATATCGATATTTACAATTTCTACTTTTTCATTGTGAGTCACTACGAGAAGTTTGGACACATCATCCAGGGAGTTTTCTTCGTCTATACTACAAGGTTCTTCCGGAATATATGGACACCAGATTATCCTATGAAAATCACTAGCAATTGTATCTCTGGGTTGAATAATCTGAACAACTGATTTTCCCCTACAAATATGTTAAGGAATACAAAGAAATATTCCTAAACATTTAGTAAGATAAAATTCTATTAATACACATATAAAAGTAAAGGATACATAAGTTTTCCATCTTGTTCTACAATTTCATAAACATATAATGAACCTATTTCGTCTACGCAAGCCAGTAACACATCTGTATTAGAGTAAGAAAATGCTAAATCTTTTATATCTCCGGTCATTCCTTTAACAAGAGTGCGTTCTCCTGTTTGAGGCTTCAAAATCCTCACCATTCCAGACGGGCTATTGTACACTGAAATCAATTAAATTTTAAATACCTGTGCAAATATTATATTATTTTGTAAGCAAATGATTGTAGCTTAACAAAATCAGCTATGATATTTCATTAATTGTTTAACATTACCTTTATCTGTTATTTAAATTATTATATTTTAAGATGCTTTTCTGTAATTGGCATAAACAAATTATTTTATCTTAGATTTCAACCAAAAGAAAAAATCTTCCCATCTTGAAAAAGAAATCTATATATAAAGCCAGTAACATGATGGGTCTTTAAAAATAAAAATGATGCCTATGACAGTTCTTAGCAGTGATTGACAAAGAATATTTTTTACACTTATTATCACAATTAACAACTAACAAATATAAAAGGTCTTCAAAAAGGAATGCTAATGTACTTAGACAGGTATTACTTGATTAAAGCGGTTAATTAATCCTTTAATCACATATATAAAAATCACATTAATCAAAATACAGTATCTACATTAAGTAAAGCAACATAAATTAAAACTTCTGTCACGTATATAAAAGGGATTGCCACAATTAATCTTGCGCGTTAATCAAATCCTGCATTAAACAAAACCAAATTAAGCAAGGGATACATGTATTATTATTATACTATTAAATTATTGTAATTATATTAATTACTATCCAAGAACATTATTATGTACATTAAAACATATAAAACCATTCAAATTTCACATTTTCCGATTGTAATTTCTCAATGTGTGCACATTGTCGTAAGACAAACATTAACTGAAACTCAAATTATTCCTACACTTGCTACAGCACATCTGTTGTCACTCCTCCCATGGCAGCCACAATTCTACTGTTCCTGCAGATTTCTCATGTTGCAAAATGATGAGTTATTCTGACTTTGTGAAATGCAGAACACAAAATGCTTTCTCTACTGCACAGTCACCATTTTTGTTTATGGTGCTTCCTAGAGATAGTAGGCAACAAAGACGTTTGAATGTGGATGGGAGATGAAACTCGGACAATTACTCTATCAGTAGGTGTACATCACATATTTGTCGGGTAATAATTAACATAATTACAGTAATTAAAATGATATCATTCATTTTGGATGACTTTGAGTAAGTTGATGATAATATATGTGAGGAACTGAGCCCGAGCTGTATTATTATTTTATTTATTTTTCTTTAATTCTATTTTATTTTGGAGTTTATGTTTAGTTAGGACGAAGGTTCCCCACACACCCCTCAATAATGGAAAAAAAAAAAAAAGGAAACAAACAGAGGAGAACCAACTCACTGACCAGACTAGGGATTGTATACCGGTTTACCGATTTACTGGTTAACTGACAAATTGACAAAAAAAAAACATTCGGTAAACTTACCGGTAAATTTCAAAAATTTACCGGTAATTCAGTAAATGAAAAATCCATACTAGAAATTTTTATGAAGAAAATATTGTGTTTATAGTTATTTAAAAGGGCTAAAGGGACATTGAAAATAAAGAATACAGGTAAGTGTAAGCAACAATATACCTAATTATTAATTTTATGAGAGATATTTTTTGTTTAATTTTAATTTAAACTTTCTTGGGTTTGAGAGGCACTGTAAATTGTACAGAAAGCTCTAGTTATCATATGTGATTTGTGCTCTGCAGTTTTTTGAGATTTTTAAAGGTTTAAAATCTTTACAATCAACATTTTTCTTAAAGAGTAAGTAAATATCTCCTTTTTTTAATATTTAAAAATAATAATACATAAATATTTCATGTATTTTTTAAATTAATAGCAATTTTGAATACACCACATTATGACACGACATTAATGCAATATTATTGTAAAATAACATTAAAATTTGAATCTTAAATAAATTTTTTACTTCTAACAACTGTTTAAAATAATTAAATACAAATATTTATTACAAGATTCTAATATTATGCCTTAAGATTGTGCAAAACATGTATTATTCTAACCCTATTTTCTTGGGGAATCCTCATTACTCTCACGAAAAGAACTTTCTTTAATTTTAGACTGTAGAACCAGGTGGAATAGCTTACTAAACATGCTGGAAAGATTTTTATTACTTAAAGGTGCTGTCCGAAAAAGTCTAGAAACCTAACCTAACCTGATTATTTTGTACAAAAATAGATCAAAATTAGGAGATAAGACTTTAAATAATTTAAGTTTCTTGAGAAATTATTTTTTAAAAAATGGTATTAGATACTATATATTATTTCTGTTGTATTTTTATTTTTCTGTATTATTTTATTTCTGTTTCTAAAAGTTATTATTATAGTTTGTTTAGAATAACACTTTAATTTTTATATTCTATATCTTTGAAATAAAAAATGTGAAATGGAAATCAAAATGACATATTTCTTATCACCTTAATTTTATTTTTCAGGAAAAAAAATTTACTGGTAAACCAGTATTTTAATTTTCATTTACCAAATTACCGGTAAATTAAAAAGTCAGTAAATTTACAATCCTTAGACCAGACAAAGCGCCATAGGAAAACTAACGCACACTTGCGCTCTCAAGCCGGAAGTTCAAAAGAAGTTCCACAAAAAGGAGGGGAACTATGTGCACGTAACACAAAGGACTCACTAAAACTTTAATAAAATAAACATCCCAACCATGTACGGAACAACAAAAAGAATACTGTAAAAGGATTTAGCAAAAACTCAGGAAACAAGCTGACCAGAAAAAAAGAATGCAAATATATTGTTAGATATATAAGTATTTAAATGAGGAGGAGTGGTTCCAGAAGTAATTGTGATGTCACCTCAGAGCATAAAACAAGTGAGACCAGAGACGATGATCGAGGTGAGCTCCAGACAGAGAGATCAAGGTGAATTCCAGAGTGAGAAATAAGGAGAAAGTCCTGAGAGTAGTAATACTTGGTGATTTGAAGGAAACTTGGATAAGGATTGAGATCCTAGTATTGAGGTGACAGATAGGATTGTAGTTCTATAAGATTCCTTGTACATAGTAGTAAGTGGTTAATATTGTCAAGTCCTAGGGAAATAGTTAATAAGTAGTAGTAGCTAAATTACATTATTTTGTGTCAGGTCTTGAGAATTGTTTTTTTTTTCTTGAATAAATTGTTGTTTGTTTCTTACTAATTTGTACACAGTGGATAATTGATAGTTGTTATTAACATTTGTATTCCTTACTGGTCCTTGTACATAGTTACTTTCCGGAGCACGCATAAGTCCAGGCCTGGCATCCTAACCGCGAACTCGCGTAAAGTACCCATTAGGTTAATGGTAGTAAGTTCAAGTGATAGTCCCGAACACCCTACTGGCATATCTTTGATTTATTTTATTTTAGTACTTTACAACTACACATCTACTTACAACTAACATTTCCATCGAATGTAAGAAATTTCATTAACACCATATCTTCATATAATGAGAAATCATCAAATTTAGTTTCAAGAATCAATTATTATTATGTGATAAATACTTTTAAAGCTTTTAGTTTTCCTTCTCAATCAGATAACTGATTTAATTTTCAGCCATTCTGTTTGATTTGAGTAATAAATCAAACAATTATTTATTGTGACATTGCCACAACGCTGAGCTGGAATTTTTTATCATATTTTTAATAATTTTTTAATTTAAAATATATGCTCTACTCCTCAAATTAGTAATTAGTAGTGTCTTGCCCCTGTACAATACATAATACTTTTCCATTAGCAATAGAGTTGCACAGGTCATCTATTGATATCTAACTCCTTTTGTGGGAATATTTTTTAATTGAAATAATATGACTTCCAGTTCAAACTGGAAGTCATATTATTTCAATTAAAAAATATATTTGTATATAGTTAACTATATTTGTATATAGTTAATCGTGGTCTCCTGCCCATAATCTTTCCATACTTGGTCTCATCTTTTAACTGTCTAACTCCGTTCTTGAGATTAAGGAAAGACGGACAGACAAATGGACAACAGTCGGATTTTATAGGTCTACAATTTTTTCAAATTGCATCCCAATAATCCATTTCAAACAAAACAACTAAAATTCAAGTCAACAATCTGATAAGAGCAAAGTTTAAAAACATTAATGATCAAATATATTTATGATTTCTTACAAATGTTGGATGATTTTCTCATTTATATTTCTGTTACATAATTTTAGATAATTATCATTTCTTCTTACCATAGAAATTATATTCTTATATTTTTATGAATAAACTTGGATTCATGCATTTCCAGGAATTTCATCAATATAAATGAATGAAAAGATTTTCATTTATATTGATAGCAATGCTGGAAACGTACAAAATGCAGTTTGGTCATCAATTTTACATTAGTTCCAGTTTTAAAGAATAACTTTTTTAAATCGAACTTTTAATTTTTTTTTTTTTATCTCAGCTTATGTGCTTTCTGCTCTCGTATTCCATTGGATTTGTTGTCATAATGTAGTAGTGATGTCTAAAACAAACTTTCTATTGCTTTGTTTTTATTATTATTACCAAAAAAGTATTTAATGGGATAAGATATGCATAAAATACAAAAAAAATTAAGATAAAACAAGAAAATAAATTAGGTTGCCTACTGGACAACTTCAAAAGTATATTTGATAGTCCAAATAAAATTTTGATTACCTGGGACTACACAACTGCAAATTTCAAACTCTGCATTATAATACACTTTGTAATTTATTAGAAAGTATTAAAGTAAATTTTAAAATATTCATTGACAATAGTTATATTTCTCTTCCATCACTTTTTTAAATTCAATGTCACAAAGTAAATCAATTGTACTCATAACCTTCACAAAGAATCTGTTCTGCAATGAGTAATTTTGCATAAAAATTTTGATTATTTACTTAAAATAATTCACCAAATCAGAAACTGATTTCTGTTATATAACAATGTAGGGCCTCATTTTGTAATGATATTTAGAAATTTTTGAAAAAAATCTAATCTGTTTTGTTACTCTTCCTATTTATTTTCTGTAAATTTCTACTTATTCTCTTTTGTATTGGTTTGATTTAAGGAAGGACAATTCAAAGATATAAAGAACATTTAACAGAAGAAAAAGAGTTGGTGACAGTCTATTTAAGAGCTTAATTAAATATATTTAAATTATACACTTTTCTACTCTTGTACTGTGAGCATAAACAATTAATGTAGTTTCCTTAAAGTTCAATTAATCATAGAATTTAACATTTAAAATTTACACATTTTGAATTATTATCAAATGATTATTTTTACTTTAAAACAGTTTAATTTTTTAGTTCTTTAAATACTTCAATATAACCAGTGGATTATCTGTGTTTTAAAGTCAATTTGAAAGCAGGCAGTCTGTGTTCTAGAAATTTTAAAATTAAACACCACTGTAGATTATACTCTAGAAATTAAGGTAATTTTCTATCAGTTATTTTTAAACTTTCTAAAAATTCAATCCATTACCTCTGAGAGAGTAGGCTAAGTAACTTCCTGAGAGGTGAACACTGACTAATCGGCCAACATATGACTTCTGTTCCCAACTATAGTCCACCACATTATGTATAGTAATCTGAAAATTAAATAGAAATCTATTTTAAAAGAACTTCAATTATGTAACTGATTATAAAAAATCCTATTAAATGCAAGAAAATTTCTGTATTTACAGTTTTAATTATTATTGTTACAAAATATTCAAAAGGAGTTTTAATAACATAACTGTAATGATAAGATAAATATGTTTTCATTAATCATTTACTTGAACTTATCAGTATCTAAATATATATGAATAAATTTAAAGTTATTCATGGAAAATAAAATTTAAAAAGTTTTTTTTATGTACAGTACAAGGTACATCCAGAAATTAGATTTTGACTGGCTAGAAAGAAACTCACTTCTTTGAACTTACCTTTGCCATCATAGGAAAATACACAGTTACAGCTATTTTTCAACATATTCACCTTTGAGGATCAAATATTTATCATAACAACAGATAAGCTTTTGCAAACTCTCATCAAAGAAGTCTTCTGCCAACTTGAACCCAACCTTGTAAAGTTATCTGCAGCTGATAGAGCTGCAGACAACTGTACAATTATCATTGAGGAACTGTTGTTCTCCCAAAAGCTTGTTCAAATGCAAACACGAGTGTGTCAGCAAGTGCTAGATTGGAGTTATATGGTGTGTAAATTTTTCAGCAATATAAATGCTGTGGATAGCTTTATTACAGGCTGTGCATTATTATAAAGCAAAATTACTCCATAGCTCAGTAGACCAAATCTTTAATAGCTTGCTGTAATTTTTTTCAGGTTATCACAATAACTTTAGACATTTATTGTTCCACAAAGCAATAACTCAATGAACAAAACACCCTTCAAGCCTTTACTGCACAATCTGGTTCAATATCATGCCATTGATCAATTTATAGAAATTGATCAATGGCATGATATTGAACCAGACTGATCACCCACTGTATATATAGATATACAGTGGGTGATCGATTAACAAACATAAACCGTTCCAAGACTTTGTTCTCTATTTGAATTGTACATTAACCAATTATTGATTTACCATAGGTTCTTATGGGAATTTGATTAATTCATTCTGGAGACCCCCCAAAATAAAAAATATATACTTTCTTTATGCTTCTAACACAATAAAGTGCTATAAATTAAGACACTTGGCAGATTTTCTCATCTTTATTTAGTTGAACTGTTCTGGTGTAGTTCTACCTGCATCTTCTTTAAATTTGATGATGTCCGCCGTTAGAAGCATAAACAAATTGTATTAGAAGCATAAACAAATTGTAAAGCACGGTTTCATATCATAAAAATAAGAAGTTAGAATATTGAAACGGCAGACATCATCAAATTTAAAAAAGATGCAGGTAGAACTACACCAGAACAGTTCAACTAAATAAAGATGAGAAAACCCTCCTAGTGTCTTAATTTATAGCACTTTATTGTGTTAGAAGCATAAACAAATTGTAAAGCACGGTTTCATATCATCAAAATATACTTTCTTACTACGTTTATTTATATGTAATAATAAAAATACATACATATAAACAGTCTTGCATTTCTATTAGTCATGTTTTTTCTGTTTGTGGGACATTAAAGAATCTATCCAATGTCGATTGTTTTTCTCTCTTCTTCAGAATATTTCAGAAGTAATTAATAGCATTGTAATTATAGAGATCCCTAAGCCTATTAACCTCAACTTGGTTTGGATGCCATTCTATGATCATTGTTCTGACATCTCCCACTTCTTCAAAATATCTTTAATAGCAGATGTTGGCATTAATCCTCTTTTTCATAAGAAAACATATCTCACAGAGTTTCTTGGTGTTCTTCATTCAAGAGTTCTTGGCATTCTTCTGTCGTCAGATCCGTTTCAGGTTCCATTATGAGTTCTTCAATGTTCTTTATTTCTCACATGTGATTTTTGTTATTCCTCTAGCTGCTTGTCTTCTTGATTATACTGTATCTTTCTTAGATAAGATCGAACTGCAGCCTACTGTAGACCTGTTCAAGCCATACTGCCCAGCAACATCAGACATCTTCTGCCCACTCTCTACCTTTGCTATTATACTCTCACCTTTTGAAAATAAAAACCGATGCAAATCTCAATGAGTGCCTGCCTGACAGTCTTGCGAATACTATCAAAGAATTGTTTCTGTCATAAAAATATAATGCTGGAATTACAAAGGAGAGTTTCAAAGTTCGGAGGAATACTATCTGATCAGTATATACCGGGTTGAGCATCAATGTTGACGTCTCCTGCACTCCAAAAAGTTTTGAATTATTGTTGAAGACAAGGGAAGACTAATCAGTATTCTTTATTTTACGATGCTGCTTCTTGTGCTTGTTCTATGAGGTGTTCATTGTCCAAACACAAAAATCTTTCATGAAAATGTTTGTTATCCGATTTGTTCATTAATCGATCACCCACTGTATATATATATAAATATTCCTATGTGACGTTCCACACAATACACTTATATCAAGTTTTATATTGCCAGAGCCCACATGGTTTTCTGCAGCATACAGTTGAGATTACAATGTTTATACTCTCTTTCACATGTCACAATTTTTACTGTGTCTACATCCAGTGAGATATATTAAACTTAAATTTTCTCTTGATTAAAATTCAGAATTGTAAAGTGAATATAGAATTACAGTAGGGCGTCGATTATCTGAAAGTCAATCATCCGAAAGAATTCCAGTCGGCAAATTTAAATTTTCGCCAGTGCTGTGGCGCTGCAATCTTTGGCTGTCTTGGGCTACTCAAATATTTTATGTTTTTGATACTAAATTAACTTCTGAAGTATAATTTTTTATTGTTTTTATATTTTCCAATATATTTATTTTGTTCGTACAAAATAAAAAAATAATTTTTAATGATACAATAGTCTTTGTTAGGCTTAACATCGACGAAAATTCAACGCAAAGCGACACGCAACGGAGAAAAATGTCAAGATGGGATAAATTAATATATTTTTCATACATAATCGGTTATCCGAAACATTGATCTTCCAAACAACCCCAGTCCCCAATTGATTCGGATAATTGACGCTCTACTGTAATAATAAATTCAGTTCAAGAAATATCTGTTTTGTGGGATAAAAGGTTAGAATATACATCTCAAAAGTTAACAGCAAATCAGTAATATTAAATTTTTTATTTTATGATTTTGATAACATAAAAAGTAATGAGCAATCTTTTCTGGATACATTCCAAAAGTGAATTTCATAGGGTTCTGATGCATTGTATGCATTTTTATTTTCAGTTATAGGCTTTATGCCTGTCAAGCACCAACACACGCATAACCCCAGTATATTAGGTACTAAAATAATATCTGTTAATAATGCAAAGGCCAGTAATTCATATTTTATTCTCATTTTTTCACTAGTTGAGTTTAGTTTGAATGTTTTTTGCCATCAATATCAGCTTAAGGGTTGAACAATAAGATTATAAACAAGAAATAAAATTACATCCAAAATCCCAAACCTCAAATCCCAGGGGTCATATAGAACCTCACATAAACACCATCACCTGTGAGGTTCTATGTAGCTCATGGTTTCTCATGACCGAAGTAAAGTATTGTACAAACAATACTTTACTTCAATTATCTTAACAATTTGTCAATGTCCTGTCTTATCATCTAAATATATAAAATTACTTGTCCTGACTGACTGACTCACTGATTCATCATTGCCCAGAGCAAACCGCTGAACCTAAAGAGGTGAAATTTGGTACACAGTTAGGGTACGTCATGAAAACGCACACTAAGAAGGGATTTTTCAAAATTCCCCTGCAGGGGGGAGAGGGAGAGCATTAAGGCTTAACTGGAAGAATGGCTTTTACTGTACTATTTTAGATGCAATTTTTTGTTTTTATCTGCGTTTTAGTAGGGTATGCCATGAGAATGCACACTTTGAAGGAATTTTTCAAAATTCCCCCGCGGGGGGAGAGCATTAAGGCTTAACTGGAAAAAAAGCTTCTACTGTACTATTTTAGATGCATTTTTTTTTTTTTTACATTTAGTCTTCATTGAGTACTTAAATGTATTAAATTTATGTAATATATATGGCATGTTTTCTCTTTTCCACCATGAAACACTTCTCCAACCAAGTATAAGAAACAAATTGAAAATATAGAAAATATTATATGCACTGTCACTGTGAGCAGAACAGTTGGTTACCATGCTTAGATACAGTGTCATGGCTAGCTTTGATCAGTTTCAAGCTGGTTTCCTGTCCCAAAAAGATGGTTCACAAGTTTCTTGGAAGAAAGTACCTGTTTCATTTTCTTCATCTTTAGCAACTAAATAGGCCTACACTCCACTAATTACTGCTTATTTTCTGGTTTTGAGTTTGGAATCCAAGTTTCATGGTCTATAACAACGTTGTCTAACAGCTAATCACCAATTTTGGCATACTGATCAAAGAATGTAAATGCTGCTGCAATCTATTGTTTCTTATGTTTTGTCTGAGATGTTTAGACATAGTTTGTAATATTTCATTTTCACTAACAATTTCATATAATTGTGAATGAGAAATTTGGGAAAATTCTGTATTTGATTCAGATTGAATTTTTTCATTCACTAACTGCATTAGAGCATCAAACAAATGATTGTGTGATTTTAAAATGGAAGAAATTGCCATTCTGTCTACCCCGTTGAAAAGTCTGCATGATCACTTGCCCATTCCATCCCTCATTGTATCACCTCCAAACACATAAATCTGTCCATGAATTTGACTTCTGGAACATATTTTGGAATTTATAAATTTAATTACAGAACATATCTCATACCCAGTGAAAAATTCTAGTTTAGCAGATATTTCAATGCACAATTGCAAACCTCAAATCAAAGAACAAAAACTTAAAATATGTCAGCTATTGTCAGCTTGATCTCCATGACAAGAATCAACAGGCAACAGTCACCATTGGCACCTGCATAGTCACAACGTCCAATAAGAACTTAATTTCTAGATATGCCACATATTTAAAAATTTGAAGTAAAAACCATTTCATGAAATTTAGATTGACAATGACAACTGACAATTACAATTTAAAATAATTTTATTTTTTCACAATAAATATCGTATCTACTCATGTATAAGACGATTTTGCATATAGGACGAGGTGTGACTTTAAAGATCAAAATAAAGAAAATTAGATTTATTAATATAATTTTAATTTTATTTCATTTAATCACAAATAAGATAAATCAAATGCACATAAGTAAATGCACACATTGTCCCACAAAAATTACTGGCATTTTAAACTTTAAGGAAAAGTCTTGTAAAATCAACAACATAATTTGTTCATGTAAAGCTGGAAAATCAGAAACCTTTTTTTTTCTTTGCCAATTCTTAACAGTCAATGAAATACTGTATAGAATGAGAGTGGAAGTATCTCAAAAAGATATAACCAACATAATTTATGCGTGATAAATAGTTTGTGTATATCTGGGTTTCATGTACAGTTTCTCATATACATACATCGAATAATTTACAAATAGAAACTTTAGAAATACTTCTATTCTTACCTTACTACTACCTGAACTATGAAGAGGTGAACTTGGATAGATAATTACATCTTGAGCATGAATGCCAAAACTGAAATCTTCATCATTACCTGTGAGAATACTTAAAAAGAAAATTTCAGTTAGTTTTATAAAAAAAATAGTATTCTATATATAAAACAATATTTGTAGTAAAATGACATATTAAATCCAGAACAACAAATTAATTTTGAAATTAGTAAGCATTTTCATTTGATTTTTTTTCAGACTTCTTTAGGCATTACACATAAGAAGAAACAGAACTCACTAAATATAAAATAGTTTAGTTTTAAATATATTTAATGCATAACATGTTTTTATTGATAAGTTGCTAAAACAGTGTTCATAATACATACATTTTTTGATTCTGCACAGATGTCTTGAGATTCTCATTCTGCTGATTATCTGTTAATGTTTCTGAAGTTGACTCCATTTGACCATTTGATACATTATTCGATCTACCTGTTAAACAAAATTAATGTACCTGATTAGATTCTGTGCAAAAAGGTGACAAAAATTCTATACTTTGTTCAATTTGTATGTTATCTAGAAAAGTGTTTTTTGGTCTTTTGACAATGGCAGACAACTTTTGCTGTCTCCTCAGTTATGCAAAGCACCAATATGTATATAAAAGTGTATGTAAATGTAGTACATACATACATAGGTCTATTTTAATGAAAATCATATAAATTTTTTAAAAATTCAAACAAATTTTAGAATTACTTTTTTATTGAGCAATGGTCACGGAGCATAGCTCATGTCTACATGGAGCACCAGTGCTCTGCCAAGTACCAATTGAGAAAACAGATCTAATTCAAATGAAAAGGTATAAAACGACACTGGGTATAATTGAAGACTTTACTCAAAGTAATCACCAGCGGCCTAAGCACAACTATCCCACTGTTTAACAAGCCAAAGGATTCCATTCCCAGAATTACTGTGACTTCCGTTTGAGATGTTTTTTGAGTGGACCAAACAGATGGAAGTCACAGGGCAACATGTCCGGGCTGAAAGGTAGATGCTCAAGCTGCCCCCACTTGAACTTGGCCATTATATTTTGTGTGACCCTGGAGATGTGTGGACACGTGTTATCATGGAGCAGAATCACTCTCTCCCTGAACCAAGTCCATCAAGAGCAAACAGCCTGGGCTGTTTGCTCTTGATGGACTTGTGTAAGCTATGGAGTGTCTCACAGTACACGTCACTGTTAATGGTTTTTCTGTGCTCGAGGAATTTGATGAGTATCGGACCTCAGATGCTGAAAAAGATGGTAAACATCACCTTGCCTGATGAGGGCACAACTTTGAATTTTTTAGGGGAGGTGACAATGCATGTTTCCATTGCATGCTGTCCCGCTTTATCTCTGGCTTGAAGTGATGACACCAGCTCTCGTCACCGGCAACAATCCGCTCCAGGAAAGTGGGGTCTTCATAATACTGGAACAGGTGTTGCAGTGCTAACCCCATACGCAATTCACTAAGCTTCTTCAGCACCCAATGCGCACAGATCTTCCAGTAACCCAACCTGTAGTGCACAATTGTCCACACTGTTCCAACACTGGCCCCCACTATCACTGCCAACATTCACATTGTGACACACCTATCACTTCTCACCAGGTCATTCATCTTGTTGATGAGTTCAGCTGTGATTATCGTGTTTTGCCTGGCCCAGTCTCAGATCATCACTCAAACACTCCCAGTCTTCACAAAAACAGGCAGTCCACTTTCTCACTCTCTTGTCGGACACACAGTCTCCCCCATATACAGCCACCATCTGGTGATGAATATCGGCCGGTTTAACACCTTCCGCAGTCAGAAATCTGATAACACCTCGCTGCTCCTCAATTTTCGACCTTTGCAATGTGAATGCCACAATGTCCTCACACACACTGCTGCGTCAATTGGAAGAACACACAATTGCCCGCTTCTCTCTGCGTCATGTGCAGGTGCACGTGCATGACGCACAACCACGCTGGACTCTACATTTGCATCCTTAGATGTCTCACTACGGTATCCCAAAACGGCATATTCCCATTTCAACCAGTTTAGTTGTGATGTCGTTTCGTACCTTTTCATTTGAACAACCCTCATACATATCTAATATAGACATGTTTCTTATAAGCTATAGACACATTTTCCTCATTTATACTGGCTGAATGAAATTACTCATAAATTAATATTTCATTGCATTTAAAAATATCAATTAAAATTTCATATGAAGATTTATGGTTGAGTGGGATAATTGTAAATGCTGGTATTGATTTTCCATTATTTACAACTTTTCGCAACTGGTTATTTCTTTTTTTAGTGACTTTGTTACCATACTAATACCAATCATATATATCTGCAATTACATATTCCAAGCTATATTATAGAGAGATAATAAAACTAATGTTCAAATGTTTAAACAAATCCAGATTTACATTTATCTCCTCTAAGTGGGGTAAGTACTGTGAGGAATAATTGTAAATCCCTATTATTGTGCTTAAAGCTTTTCATGTCTGTGGCAAGAGAAACTGTAACTAAACAAGAATCTTTGAGATGTAAAGTGAACAAAACTGTCAACTTTATTTGACTAAACAAATGAAAAGCAGACAAGGAATCTGCATTGATATACACCAGAGTATGCTCAAATAAAATAATCTGGTATGAAACGTTTGTTTTTAATTTATAAAAATTAGATTAATAAGGAAAGGCCACAAGTTACTATGTGCACTTTTTATTAAAATGTTATTTATCATCTAATTTTTAGATTTAAAATCTAATTTAGATCTTGATGTCCTTTATAGGTAAGTAAAGCTATAGCACTTTAAGCAATACACAAAGAAGATACATAAAAAGTCTGTCTGAAAAGCTTGAGGCCAACTGCAGCATGGCCTGGTCAGTAATGCCAGCAGTTTCTGAGTAAGGTTCAATTCTCCCTTTTGTTAATTTTTTATAATAAATAACAAATTTTTAAATAAATATCTGAATAATGGATACTGATAGAAACATAAAAAATGGCTGTTGTTTGGAGGTTATTTTGTATCTGTTTTTGTGTAAAAAAAGTAAATACAGTGGTGCCTCGTATAACGTACTTAATCTGTTCCAGGTGCACGTCCGTTAAGTGAAAAGTCTGTTATACGAAACGCATTTTTCCATAGAAATGCATGTTAAAACATATAATTCGTTCCACAGCATAAAATAACCGTACTGTACCATTAAAAAAATGAAAATGAAGCAGTCACCAATTATGCCAGGTAGTCAGATGTTGTGAGGAGGTGGAGGAACACTTTCTTCACACATTCATACAGATACAGACTTTTTACACATTGCAGCAGGTCTCTTTTTATTGTTTTTTAATCGGAGTCAGATTCAGGAGAGGCTACCGGAGCTTGCAGGGTCAACTCCTCTTGTTCCATCCTTTGTTTTTTGGCAGCTGGCTTCTTGAAAAACATGTCCAAGGTGGTCTGTTTCTCTCTCTTCTTCAACACCTGTCGGAAATGACAGGCAAGAATGTCATTGTAGAGATCATTGATCCTGTTGGCCTCAGCTCTGTTTGGATAATGAGTATTGATAAACTCCTGAACCTCTCCTCATTTGACAAGGAAGTTTTTGTTAACTTTCACTCCTTCTGATGATTTCTTACTTTGTTTCAATTGAAATCACCTTTCTATTTTTTTAGAAGCCATGATTTGCACAACACTTGAATACTGTAAATGTAAATACCCTGCACTGAGGTGATGTACAGTACGTAATAAACAAGGGAGTAATCTGAATCCAACGGGAGCTCTGTACTTCAGATATACTAATAATATATTCTAATAATACTAATATATTATAAAAATAGCAGATTGTCATTAGCAACGGCAAAAGACATTCGCACTTGTTCGCAGAAAGACCGTTGTTCGCCTCACGTAACTGCTGAACGTAAAGTCCGTTGTTCGCCGCCAGTCTGTTGCTTGAGTCATGTAACGGCCAAACAGAAAGTCCGTTGTTCGCAGCGTCCGTTATTCGAGGCGTACATTATATGAGGCACCACTGTAAATATTCCTGTAAAAACGCTGTCATTTAGTAGTGGCTGTTATTGGATATTTGACTGTATATAAAATCTACTTATTACATTTAAAATTAAGTAAACTACAATTTGTTTTCTTTTATTTCACAGCAGTTACAAATTTAATATTTTGTCTTTAGTTAAAATCCAACTTGCTAATTTTTTAAATCTTTTTTCCCCCTCTCTATTTTTATATTTCAAACACTTGCCAACCAAAATCTGACTTGTGAAATATCAAAAGTACAGTTAATGTAGAAATAGAACAAGAATTAAAGATAAAAAAAAAAAGCACATTGGATTGAAAAATTGGAAATTGAATTTGTAACAGATTTCTTCTTTACGTATGTTCAAGCTATTCTGAAATAAACAAAAAACTATATTGGGACTCAGTTTTAAATAGGTCTATCCCTGATTATCACTATATAATACTATCAGATTTGTATTTGTACGATTTACAATTTCTCTTCCTTCAGCTTTTGGTGTAGGTTAATTGTAAATGCCAAATTTTACAGTTTGTAGAGTATATACCAAAATAGAAAATAGACCACCATACCTTAGTTTATTCCTTTACTAATTAATACAAGTGTATGGCACAAAATTACACTAATATTACTTTTTATTGCTCACACGCTACACTATAGTCTGTTTGCTGTAACTTTGTGCATAAAATAAAGAAGTAAAGTGGCCACCTCATCACTATATTCTACAAAGTATATTCCTCTGCATTACCTTTCTCATTGTAATAGCAACAGCAGTGTCCTGATAAAACTGAATCTGTTAATTTTTATAAATTTACTTCCAGTGACAATCATTAAGAAAATATACTACAAACTATTTCAGGCAGAAGCATACACAAAGTTACAGTGAATGAACTATAGTCAGACACGATATACAAGATGTTTGTTTACAGTAGGTGCCAACTTACATAAAGCAATAAATCATAGCATTACTATATTATGTGTGTTCAAACTTTGTAAAAAAAAATTATTTTTAATAAAGTAAAATTATATTTAAAAACTCTTCATCTGTTGGGGTGGTTTGCCTGTCTTGACGGTCAGCGGCTGGATTGCCATTGAAGCACATTGGCAGAGTTGGTATACATTGTCCATTATGTGGGTGAGCAGAAAATGTGTTTGTGGCACAGTAACAATACTTTGACCAGAGTTACATTTGTCACTGGTAGCCAAGAGAGGCTGTGGCAGATTTTTTTAATGTAAGCCTCTGCCTAACACACACATGCAAATCTTGTTAATTCTAGGCAATGCCCAAGCAAATATCATCCTGAGAACATGTAACAATTTTGTTTCTCCATATAAATGGAAGTTCTTCCCTTAGACTTTACTATTATGGGTAGCCCTACAGGAAGCAGATGCTTCTGGCAACATCATTCTATGGTTCATTGGAACTACTGCATTCTCTCACTTAGC